TATATTATGTTACCCTAACATCCATTTACTTTGATGTACTTGCTCAAAGAGAGTATTTATTACTGTCTGGTTATGTATTCTGCTACTATTGAATTACTTTTTTCCTAATTTTTTTATTTTCATCACAATAGTTTCTCTATTTTAAAAAACAATTTATTGTGTAATTTATAATCTAAAGTGAAGTGTATTTTTAAATACTACATTGTACACTATCTTACCTTGGTCTTTAATTTCATATGGTTCACTATTTATTTTATTATTCATGTGTATACTGTTATCTATATTTGTATTGGCTTACTTTCTAAGACATCATAATTGATAAATAAATAATACTACATTGGTGATGGTTATTTTACACTTATATTAACAACATGTATGTTAATGCTTATGCTAATAATTTGTATGTGATATTTGTTTTTTGGTTAGGGTCTGCAAAAGAGAACTTCCAGATAAACGAGGATAATAGTGGCTACATGGACCACTCAATAGAGATATGTCGTCCTCAAATAAACTAGTTCAATTGAACGATTCACTTTATAGTACAATATTCAAAATTGAACTTAGGCACTGATTCATCAAAGACGGCATGCCGCGGCAGTTATGTTGATTGTGTATGCTTATAATAAGTTCTATGGAGTATGGTAATTAAGTAATAATCTCAGAGCTGTAGCAAGATTCATCAGCGTTCTTGGCCATTTAACATATTTCCTACTTAGTACATTTTTTATTTTTTTTTAAATATCTGATATTTAATTACTGTATTATCTGTATCATTAAATATTATATGACCCCGCTAAGTGTGTTATAATAATTCACAGTAATGAAAGGGTGGTAGGTGGTTTCATTTGAAAAGTAGAAGTTTGTATCCTTGCAGCAGGGCACTCCTAAGTAGGTAGAACAAAAAATATCACTATCAGGCATTTAAAAATATGGTTTTTATGTATACTTGAAAATTTTAAAAATCGAAATCAAATTGTTTGTACAGTAATTTTGAGTTCAAATTTGGACGATACTTTTGGATCTTATTTGAGCTATAAAAATAAAATATATTTTAAGTCATTGACTTAATTTAGCTTCTTTTTCATTTACGTATAACATTTTATTTGTGATTAAAAAGGATGAAAAATTTACTTATTTAAAATAATTCATATATTGTTGTCATGAATATATTAAAAAATTTATTTTCTTTATTTATTTTTGTAATTTATGTTAAGTCAAGATGTTGGTTTATAAATAAGTGTATAATGGGTTGCTTTAAATTTTATTTATTTACTTAAGATGAAATTGAAAATTAAATTTAATTTAATATTGTAAATTGAATTATTTAATTAATATTAAGAAAGATCTGAAATATGTACATATTGCCCATCATTCTTATTAAAAATAAGACAAGTCGTAACCAGTGGTCGAAGTGGGGGGAGGGGGATGACATCTCTCTACTTTTTTGTATTTACATTTTTCATCAAATACTATACAAGGTATGAAGAATGTTATGATGATATCAGGAAATCTGAATTGTAAGGCATCCCTCCACTTATCTTGAGCCATTTCGACCACTAATCGTAACGAAGTAAACGTACTGGAAAGTGTATTTAGAAAGATATTTTAGAAAGATATTAATACATACAATTTTCTCTGAATATTTGTGTTAGCATTTTCTATTCACCATATTATCAAAATATTTTTACTCATGTTGAACTCTTTACAAGCATATGAAATTTTTAATTATTATTTTTTTTTTCAATTTCAAAACCTTTTTAAAATATAACATATGGTTCCTCATAAGTTGTAGTTAGTGGAAATAAAAAAAAAGTTGAGCGTAAATCCACAATAACTTTTTATGAGCATCTGAATTTAAAATTTTGACAAAATACTTAAAAATCACGAAAATTAGCAAATTCTGTTGAATTGGAAATTTATAAAAAATTTCTTTTTAAATTTAATTCAAGATTTATTATAAGTTGGTCTACCTTAATCAAAAAAAAAATTCTCCCATAAAGTCAAATTAAATTTTTATGACAGTTAGAAGTTCAAGTTTTTACAACATTGGATATTCACTCGATTTCTCATGTAGCGATTTTCATATTTTAGTGTACCTAATTCAAAAACGAATAACTGTAGATACTTGAAATTTACACCATATGTTTATTTTATCAATGTACATACTTTATTACATTTTCAAACTGTTTCGATTCGTTTTGAACAATTTATTTTAATTATCTATAGAATTAGACATTTTTATTTAAAAAAAAAATATTTATTAAACTTTAATTTATTATAAATATATATTTTTTTAAATTAAATTGTATTAATCAATAATTAATTAGTAGTAATAATACCACAGGGGAGCGAACGTATAATAATATAAATGCCATAAAATACGACAAAGAGCCGACAAAGCCACAAAGGCACACGGGCATGGTACTCGAAAAATACATGCAGCTAACACGTGCACGTTGCACTAACTCCCACAAAGTGCCAAAATTGGCACGACGAAACGTCGGAAAGCGTAAAAAAATCAAGCTCGGCGGGTAAAGATTACCACGACGTAAAGCTATAGTTGTCTACTCGAAATAAAGCAGGGATCCAACTGGCCCAGCGTACAACTAAAATAGGTCATTAACGACGACACGTCCGGATAAGCACCGCGTACTTTCAAACTGTTTGAAATACAAAAACGTGGTAAAGAGAACACAGTATGGCACGCGGTCTTGGTACTCCTCGATATATATGTGGCAAACGAATGCACTAACGGCCGCAGAGTGCGAAAATTGGCACGAAAAAAACGTCAGCGGGTATAGATTAACACGGCGCAAAGGGCTGGCTGGCGAACTCACACAATTCGGACGGAATGTCCGATATCTAAGGGATTACGGTGTGTCGACTGGCAGTGTACAGAGATGGTGTGGGGCGAACTAATTGGTCAGTGGTTGCAGGACCAGGGTTTGACAAGAGTGAGGACGACACGTTATAAACTATATGATATTATGGGCTATATTATCACGGTTAAAGATATGAGGGGCATAGTGCCACAGGCCACAGCAAAGCATTATAGCTGGACGAACCTCTTCGTACGGATAAAAAAATAACAGTTTCGTCTAGGACTAACCATGCAGGTTACCTACTGATCCGTTGTTGCATCACTGCAACCATCGTCGGTTGCTGGATCCCGGAAATTATCCGTCTCGTGGACGTTTCGTCGAGCCATCTACAAACTCGGGCAAATGTAAACTGGGCCCGAAGTTACCTTTTTTGTTGTAAACTCGGCCCGAGAATTTTAGGTAATAAAAATAGGTAGATTGTAAACTCGGCCCGGAAATTTCAGGTAGTAAAATAAATCGATTGTAAACTCGGCCCGAAAACATACATAGGAGAAGATTCTATGTTTCCGCCTGAAATGTGGGCCAGTGCATCAGTTGAAACGTATTTAACAACAAATGCATGTGAATCATTTCATGCGCATTTTAATTCAAGTTTTAATTCCACTCACCCCAATATATATTCCGTCATTTCAAAATTAAAAGAAGTACAAACAGAAACGTACATTAAAATCAACAGCCTAGATGCACCATTTAAATTCCAAAATATAAAAACTAAAAAAAAAAAGAACTCTTAGAAAGAACACTTACAAAATATAAAAATAAAGATATATCAGTGAGTGAATATGTAAAATACATGGCTTTTTACTTAAAAAAACTAGATTTATATATTATTATACTAAAATTTTTCACTCATTATTTACACTACAATTTTACTTATTTATTTTTTATTATATTTTTACACATTTTTACACTTATACATTTATATAAATACATTTATTATTATTTTATTATCAATATTATAACATTTTAATTACATTTTTCATTTAAATAACGAATTTCATACTATGAATAATAATATGAAAATGAAAATAATTTTTGGAGGATAATGAGAACCGCCTCCTCGTAATGTCCTCTGGGTAATGCTAAATGTTTCTCAAAAATATTATAAGAAAAATCATGGTTTTTACATCTAAATAATTTTTACCTGAAAAAAACTCGGGCCGAGCTTACATCTAAATAATATTGACCTGAAAAAAACCCGGGCCGAGTTTACCATCGACCTTTTGAAAATGTTTTTTCCTGAGTTTACAATCTCTCACAAACCCTACTGCACCGCATACTAGCTAGGTGTATAGCTTAGTATATTTTCTAATAATTTAAATGTAATTGTGTGATAAATGATAATTTTTAAATTTAGTCTCAAAGTCTAAAAAACAATTACTTAATAATATAGTACTATTTATTCTAATTGGTCTATTTATTAGGTACTAGGTATATTTTTTTTTTGAAAACGTATGCAATTAATGTGTGATAAGTTGTAGTACATAGTTTATACTACTCCCCTAATTCCTGACATTATTATTTCGGTTAATATATCCTTTTGCACTATTTGTTATAAACACCAGTATGATAAAAAAAAGATATATATTTAGTCAATGAGGTAAACGTTTAAGGAATTTATAAATCAAGTTTGTAACTGTTGAATTACTTGAATTCAATTTCATATTGAATTGTTGTTATGATGTCGTCAATTAAATTATTCTTGTGATTAGCAAAAAAAAAAATCAGAAAATGAGTACCTACTTAAAACTTGAGTGTAAAATGGTTTTTAATTTTATAATTCAATATTTACAAATCGATTTTCGCATAATATGTAGTACATTTTTCGATATATCTACACAGTATTGAGTATACATGCTTATAACTTATAAGGTGAAACTTGAGGAACTCTATAAGTACTCAGACGCTCTAAAATGCTAGAATCTAAAGTTTTATTTTTGTGTTCATATTATTATAAATTAGTTATAATTCACAAACGTTGTGAAAGGTATTGTGTACTTACTCTGCATACGTTTAACTAAACCAGAAAAAACATGCAAATGCACGAAAGTCCTTGCTCTAGTTATAAACAACGACCATTTTTATTAATACATTATATTATAAAACATTTGGTAGAGACTAGAAAGTGATATCCTTATAAACTGTTACTTACTATCTAGGGTAGTTGAATACAGGATTATAATTTTAGGTAGATTCAAGTATAATTTATTATATAAACCTAGGTAATATACATACTTTGTAAGTTTTTATAAACACTTAATTGTTCACTCAATATATACGCAAGGCACGAGACAGACACGGAAAACAATTTTTTTCCTGCATCATAGAATTGCAATAATCATGGAGACGACTGCCAAACGACGCTATCGATCCAAGACACGTAGTTGGATACTCTTGTGTAGACACCGGGTGCGTTTGGTTCACCACACAGTTTTCCGAACGACGTAATACCCACTTGCGTGTACATACACTCGAATTCGGGATGAACGATCTGTAATGGCCCACCAGAATCACCCTAGACACATGCAACAATTAAAAAACCAATTACAAAACGATTTTAAGATTTTCAAAGATTAAAATAGGGATTGATTTAGATGGAATGCCAGGTGGACTAAACACATATTTTGTGAATACAATAGAAGCACTAATGATGACGACGAAATAGTGTTATTAGAAGCTCAAACATACAAGTAGGTATTATAGTAAAAAAAGGCATTGCGTTTACTTTGAAACGGAACGTCAGATATTTACTATTTTTGGAGTGATCTTCTATGTAGGTTTCAAGCTCTCTCTTAAGGAGGGTGAGGAGGAAAGCTTTGTCTAAAGAGGAAAGTCAAGACTCAATACACTATAAATATAGGTACTATTCGACCAAGGATAACGTGAACTTTCAGAAGAGACTTAAATTACAATATAAGTGGTGTAACGTCAAATTGGTTAAATGTTACAAAATGTATAAGATTATAGGTGTATAATTAGGTGTTACTTTTTAGAATGTCAAAAAACATGGTCCAATGATTTAAACTTCACAAATATATGATAGTATTCTGCAGTAGTTACTATTTCAATTCGATAGTTTTTTAGGTTAAATTTAACTAAAAATAAGTCGCCTAGATTTAATAAAACTGTACTTACTCAAGCTATTTAGTATACTAGCTATGTATATTGTATAATGTATAGGTATAGTATACATAATACATATTAATACATATAGATACAGAATATAATAGTTAAGTAGATATTCCTAATTATTTAAATTGTATTTTCATACTTGACAAGTGTCCTTGCCACCTTCTAATTTTCCAGCGCAAATTTGATTATTTGGATTTATTCCAAATTCTAAATTTGGACTTTTGGAAGACGAATAACTACGATTACATTCATTTTGTTTCACAAAATCTAATGATACTTTCATTAAAACATTACTCGTTTGACCAGCTGAAATTAAGAAATTAAAATGAATTATTAATCTATTGATCTATAAATCACTAAACAGTTTTAACAAGTCTATGAAGCCAATCGGCAATCACGTAGAGCACTAGAGCAGTAATATGACTTCTCACTTGTGGTAAACAACTAAATTTAAATTCAAATCCAAAATGTAAAATAAAAAGTTGCTTTAATATTATCACGCTACAATGTTATACCAATAAAATAACTCAAATAAGTCGATTAGAAGAAACCATACCATATAATTACTAATTGAAATTAAAAGAACTATTTTTTTCTTTATTAGCCTTTATAAAAAATTCGGCTCAACAATTGAAGTATCTTACAGCTAAAAAAAATAAAAAAAAATTCTTTAATCATATATATTTATATAAAATTAATTTAAACGTATTAAGAATATATGGTTGTATCGTATACCTACAAGTAATATTATTGTTCACATTTCATTTCATAATAAATTAATTTTGTTTTTGAAGTCATACTTCTGTAATCTGTATGTAGGGTAACAGAAAAGAAAGATGTTCACGACAGATTTGAGAGTGACTGTTACTATTCTGTTGCTTAGTATTATAAACGAACCATATTGTACAATATGTCAATAATTGAAATTAATTTTTGATTTTTAATTAATGGCCACAGACCATTGGGTAATCAGGGTACCGGATACCAACTGATTTTAATGCCGAAAATATTTTATAATATATTTTAAAAACAATTTGTTTTCTAATTTGTTAAAAATATATCGTCGAAGAAGCATAATATTTATTATGAATTTATGAATATTTTACTATGGAACGCATTAATTTTTCATCAACACACAACTTCGAAAGAAGTATAACTTCATCTGCACGTACTTGCAACATGCACAATTTGTATTGAAATGTTGAGTTATTAAAATTTTTAGTAGGATGGACCTCAAATATATATCAGTAGGTATGTACCTAATCTAATGTAATACATTGTCTGCAATATAGTTTTTATACATTCAGTTTTTCAGCGGAATATGATGCGTAGGTATCAACAAATTAAAAATTTTTTGAACATTTTACATAATAATAATCTTAGAGCTGCAAAAAAATTCGTAAAAACCTGAACTAGTTCTTCCCCAACCAATGGCGATTGCTTGTTTAGCTGTTAATTGTTCTTCGTTGTTTATGCAAGCTGGAAAGATAAATCGATTGAATTGAACCGGTGTGCTTAGCCGGTATAGACCGATGTCGTTGTACATCGACGGAGGTTTATAATTTGGATGCAAGACGCGCTGTACGATTTCGCGAACCTGAGGGTCTGCAGCACCTTCGTTGGAACCTAAGTCGTTGTCCCCTAGTAAGGCCCATTTAACTGGGCTTCTGAAGTAAGAATAATTATTGTATATTAAACATTCGCATTAAGATATACATGTATTAGATAAAACTAAAAATATAGTAGGTATAGTAAATTAGAATAATACAAGTAAATAAAACACTGTGTAGGTAAATACATTTGAAAGACAATTTGGTTTACATTTAATGCAAAAAACTACGAATTTTTCTTTCTGAAGCTATCAACCATGTTCTAATGATTTATTACGGTGTACGTGTACAATGGATATAGGTAAATGTTGAGTTAAGAAGTTGCCTACACACTGTGCAGTGTGCAGTATTAATACTTACTTGTTTCCAACTTCGGAACAGTGTGCTGCTGAAAGCACATAACGATCGCTAATCAATGATCCACCGCATGACCATACGACATTTTTTATGTTTTCTCCAAATCCTAAAATAACCTGAATATTTATGACTAATTATTACAAATATTACACACTCATTCCGTTTGTCACTATTTGAGGGCAGCATAATATGGAATATTCTATACCTATAAGTTATTTAATATTACTTAGATATACTGCAGTTAGACGATAACAGTAGAATTCCTTATCTTATATGCAGCAATAATATTGCTCTAAGTATAATACAACATTTTGAAATATATCGTGAAGCTCTTAGAAAAATAAATATTTTGTTCTGCCACATGTATACATTGTTTTTGTACGACAACAGTTCACGAAGCCGTCGAAAAAATGTAAGACAGGTAAGTGTAAAAAAATTATTGATTATAATAGAATCTAGAGTGTGCATTGCTCATATGCACGGTATGAATTATAATCGTAACGATATAACCACATTTGTATCATGAGCAATCGTAAGTTTATATTATATTATATGTTGCTTACTTAAATTAGATATTATTTATATTTTGAATTCAGAGTTACTTGCCATGTGAGGAAATTCCATTTCTTCGGCCTCGGTTCCGCCGACGATGGTAAGAATGTTTTCGCTGAAAATCTTTTTCGGTCGACAACCGCCAGAATCGATTGTTCCACCGCCTTTAGTCGTCAACGAATAGTATTCTCTACACACTACACGAAATCGAAATGCTGGGAGTTGGTACTCGGTTTTAAATGTTAATGTCGATAATAATAAATAATAATAATAATAATTAGGTTTCACTCGCTTTCGGTGGAATTTCTACTGGGGGCTTCTTGAGAATTTGGACAGCACACGATCGGAGTCCGTCCGCGGAATCTACAAATCTTTGGATACGCCGCATGGTCTTTAGCCGCACGAAGAACCACCGGACATTGGTCGATCGCCTTACACGTGTAATTGTCGTTGGTCTTGGTGATCACTTTGCAAAACTCGTCTACGAGTTGAAATAAAACGGTATGAACATATTGTATCAATTCAGAAACGTCAATATTACCGTCTTTCCGGTCCCAGGACTGCGAATCGGCGGAGTACGCGAAAATCAAACACCATACGACTGCGCGTTTCGACATGTCAAGAACGAGAAAACGCACACACAATAAACGGTAGATCATAGGTACCTACTATGTATGCGAATCACAAATGCACCGATGGCTTACGGTTATATATGTATATAAATAGGCAATGTGCTCTATAATTATTGCAGTTTTCAATCGTAAGCTATTCCGAACCAATCTCTCCGAACAGACCGGTTTGCCTATCTCATATCGTCGGAGAAGTGGTCGATTGGATTTTTTCAATATCCTCCTTTTGCAATACAATGTTAATTATTACATATCATATTATTAATATGTCACACAGAAAGATGTTTTATTATACACACGAAGTCCTTGGGTTTTTTTTTATGAGAAGATTTAAGACAACATTTTCCTAGAAATCACATAACGCATCGTAACGCGTAATATCGAGTAGTGATACAGAGCTTTTGGACAGTTATAAATGTTATAGTAACCATTTTATTTTACCCGTAGACTAATGCCCGTGAATTAAACACTTCCTAAACTCCTTAAACTACGTAGATTTTTAATACAGTTATTCTGGAAAAATATAAAATACATGTTTAAAATTACATCCAATTATAATAACTATTTTATTTTTTTAACCAATAGCAACAATATATAAACTAAAAAATAATAGTTTTTTGTGTGTCAACTTTACTCATAATGTATGAATTACAGGGTAAATACTAAATAGTAGGTAATAAAATGTAGTAGATGGCACATATTTTTAAATATTTTAATAATAATCATTACATTGAGAAAAATGTTAAAAAGTGAGCAAGTGATAAATTTTTTGATTTAAGTTTAGTTATATACCTAACTGTGTTACCCATATAAATATAAAATAAATATTATTGTAAGTATTTAGGCTAAGGGTTCAAACATCGATGCCTCTTCTAGTAAAATTCATGTTATTGATTTTCTTTCTTCTAAATGTTTATACAATTTATTTATTGTAAATACAAACAAATATGAGACTACCTAACCTTGTAAGTATTAATTTTATTTAATAATGTAAAAATTATTTAGGTTAGAACAGAACGCAAGTATAATTATATGTAGACCACAAACAATGTTTAATGGGGCCGACCACATCTTCAATAATTTTATTTTTGAAATGACTTATCATTATTGTGCTTATAAGCAAAAAAGATTAACATGAAATAGTAATGCAAGGTATACGTATAATAAGTTCCAAAAAAAACACAATTTTACTATTAAACTCAACATGACGTGTTTTAAACTTCATCATCAATCACCTGGACGCAAGTTAAATTTAAATTATGATTGTGTTTTTCTTCATATATACGACAAATGAAGATATTAGTAACCGTAAAAAGATCCGCTCTTAGTGTTTTATTTTTATGGTATTTTACAGTATCATGTATATTTTATAACTCATACTTATTAAGACTTAAATTTCGGAAATGAAATTAGAATTGATTAATAAAAAGTATAAAAACGAATTAGGTACCTATCGTTAAACAAACAATTGGGACTTACATAAAATACAAGTATATAATTTCTATTAATTAACAAAACGAATAAATCATTTAATTTATTTCAAATGACCGTTAATATTAAAATAAAAAGATTGTATTAGTTGTTTATTCTATCCAAAATCCAATCCATGTAGGAAGCTACTCTTGTGTACACTCCAGGATGACCTGGATCTCCACATTCCGCAAAACCATAAGAAACAACGCCAATCAAATAAAATTGATTTCTCTTTGACCACATTAAAGGACCTCCGGAATCGCCCTGAAACAAATTTGAATAAAATATAATACTTAGTAAGTACTTTTGATAAAATTTAACAAAAATAAAATAAACTTAATACCCGACAAGAGTCTTTTCCACCTTCTGGATATCCAGCACATATCACCTTGTCATCGATTACGCTTTTATAATTTGAATATGCCTGTTTACATTGTGTTATATTCGATATAGGAATTTGAACTTCCATCAAAGACGTCGAAGTCTTCTCATCTAAATTATTGTACTACTTAGTTTTACAAGCATAACATATGTAACCATTAAATTCAATGCATATGAGTATAGCCACGACAGAATGTAATAAATGTATAATATCACGAACTTACTTACTAAACTTAACTATAAAATAACTTTTTTTTAACCATCTTTAATTATTATACATTTTTATAGATGACATTTTGGATGATTCAGATGATTTTTTGGAATGTGTGTCTTTAAAATAGTGCAATGTTCCCTGCATAATTTAATTTGTTTTAAAAATAAAAATTTACATGTACACTAATTAAAGACAAACATTTATGTTTTTTACTAAGTTGATGCACTATTTAAAATAAATAAAAGCTCAAGTAAACGATTTACTACTGATACGAACTGGCAACTGTGGTTTAATAAATATTAAATACCTACATATATTTGACTTTTCAGAAATAAATTATTCCTATGTTATCCTATGGATAATATAATATTTTTATTACTTGTTTGAGGCGAAGCATTGATGCTTCCCCAGCCGACAACAAATGGTATATTTTTTGATTTTTCAACATTGTCCATATCCAGTAATGCTGGTAAACAAATCGGTTGGATCAATTCTACAAAAATAAATTAATCGTTGATACATCATATAATAATCTATAAATACTACAAAGAAGATATATTTTAATTCGTGTTTATAAACTATTTAACTATGTAGTATTTTATTTGATGTATGTTATGTTAAGTAGGTATAATACAATTATTTTATAAAATATATGATAATTATAATTTAAAGATAAATTAAATCTTCAATAACATAATAGACCTTTGCCATGGTTACATCTAATGGCTGACAGGCAATGGTACATAATACAAAAATTATATCTGATGAAATCTCTAAACTCACCATTAAAGGTAACACTATTTTTCAATACCAGTATTGCAATGTTATTGATGATTTTTTTTGAATCGTATCCCTCGTGGTTTACAATACGTTTGATCGGAACATCTAATGGCAATGCCCCGTCATCGACCATGGGATCCAAATCCAACTCACCTAAGCGTGCCACGGTCCTATAATACATTAAACAATTAATTTTAAAAAGGTGCTCATTCATCAGTTCTTCACAAGTGGTAAATACATTTTATTTTCAAAATGTGATTTAAAATACATTTATGAACAGAAGTTAACAACTAAGAACTAATTTGGTTTATTATGATTTACCTACTTACAATACTTTTGACCCAGTGTTGGTCACGCATGTGGAGGCAGTTAAAACGTGTGTATTGGAAATTAATGTACCGCCACAATGCCACTCAATAGAATCATTTTTTTTTTGTGAATTTTTGTATCCTAGGGCTACCATCCATGGCCAAGCACCTGGGAACTCGTTATTATTCAATAAAAACAAAGATTGGGTCATTCAATCGTATAGGTACTAAATCATTTTAGATTATATTAAATTAGGTACCTAAGTATAGAATAAAAATAATTTAGCTGAAAGCTATTACTTATAACATATTCTTACCTAATTGAGATTCACTTCCTCCAAGTATTCTAAAGTTTGGGGCCATTCTTTTGCCACATGTGGTTTGCGCTGTAAATTTAGATGAAGTTACATTGCCTTTTTCTTTTATAATATTTTTATCCTTAGGTTTTGTTGATGCGAACTCTAAATTAGAAGCAATTAACTTTATTTGACCTTTTGGCACAGTTGAATCTGAAATTATGATAGCAAATAAGAATAATACTTAAAAATATCAATAACAACAATAATTTAAACTCACTCCTGGACTCTGTATGACTATTGATTATATATGTATCCAATGTTATATTATTATTAGCAAATTCTATGGATGTTAATTTTTGATCTAATGGTATTTAGTAAGTTCATATAAGTAAATTATAATACTATTGAAATTTTACTTAACCTTGGAGTATTTACAAATCAGTTATAGGTACTATAATGTACTTACACAGTCATTCTAAGTTTTAATCCTAATGAAAAAATAAACTTACAACACCAGCCCGTGCAGGTTTAGAAGATGTACAATCCCACCCCTTCACCCATTTAATATTTTTTTTTGAATTTACACTAAAGACAATCGTTATAGTGAACTGTATTCGATTCTAAGAAACTTTACAAGATGCAGTATTATAATATGTTTTTATTATTAGTTATTATATATAAAAACATAAACTCTATTAAAAAATTTAATGTTTATTTGAAATTTCTTGAATATTAAATTTCCGAAATTGTACATCAATAATCGTCCCTTATCATAATGGAGAGATCGGTTTTTTGATATGTTCGATTTAGTTATATTCAGATAGACTATGTAATACACTATACAGTAGGACTGTTAACCAAGAATCATGAAAAATGACACATGTTTCTTTTAAATATTATTATATTAATAACTATCATTAACGATAATAGGTATTATTTGCTATCAGCTATGATGGTTTTATGATTTGTTTTTTATTTAACAAGTTTCATGTTATTACAAATAATAACATCTAGAATGCGTATCTGATATAGCCATAAGGTACCTATCAAAACAAACATTTCACTATATTTAATGTTATATACTTATATGAATGACGAATCATTATAAATTATATTGATTCCTTATAAATTATATAGCAGGTAAACATATTGAAGTAAACTATATTCCTATTACAAAATATGTTGAAATGTTTGGCACATATAAATACTAAAATACAAAATAATAATATAAAACATTTTATTTAGGTTCTTGTATTATGTTAGAGATAATGAAGTAAACAATCGCTACTTAATGACTCGTTTCGTTAAAAATAGATGATTGTTAAAATATATTTTCAAATCATGAAATATATATTACAATTTTATATTTCTTGACGTTTTCAAGCACTACAATCGTCAATATTACTCACCATTATAGGGCAGTGACGTTATCATTCCGATCATGAGAGTCACGAAAATTAAATATTGTTCTTTCCTCATATTAAAACTGTAAATCAAAATTATTTCTATTATCAAGTATGAACATTATAACCCCCTTAATAAACTATGATTATATACATGACTAGCTGCATACAACTTGAATCCAAATTTTCTTTTAGGACGAATTGAGTCCTGATATTTTAGGTACCTATATCTATAGTATATAATATACTAATCGAGTCACTTAAAATTTCAAATGCGATGTTTAAATTGAATTTTTATATTTGTAGACATTTTTCGTGATTAACATAGGCATATATTCATACTCGTTATCAAAGTTACACAAATAATATGAACGATATCATGTTATACGAGTCATCTCATAAACGTATATTATGATTGATTTTTTTGTTTTACTCAAAAAAATCCTCGGACTAAGTTAGCATATCTTTCGTTTATACCTAAGACTCAATAAGTACATTATTTTTGCCTATTCACGTATATTGGGACTCAATTGGTATACAGTAATATAGATATAGTAGCCTCCCAAAAGAAAATTAAAATATCATCACAAAATAGATAGGTAGTAATTATCGTCGTTGTTCGATATTATCACTATACGCACAACCGGCCAATGTCATAATTGTAAAATAATAATTTTATCCAATTATAAGATATAGAGAACTACGATTTAGACTAAAGATAACGATAAGGCGAAGTGATGAAATATTCGATTGGATAGTGAGAACCTATCAAAAAACCATGATGATACCTATCTATTTTTTCAAGGATAATATTATTATGTTGAACAATTTACTATTTATAGATTACATCAATTTCATTACTTCCCATTTCCTGATATTTGTATACTATCAATATATTCGGTCTTAAAAATTCAAATAAATCTTAAATTGCTAATTTTCTATTTTTTAATAGATGATATTTATAAATGCAAAATAGACAAGGTTAATTTTGCATTTTATCTTCATGTGTTTTCTCTCAATTCTTATACTAAATAAACAATAGTCAATATCTACTAATAGTGTTATGTATTAAGTTATAACATTTAATTACCTTGGTATAGTATTTGTCTAAAAATATCTCTTATAATTATATACATGAATTATTATTCCACAGTATAGAACATTTTGCGAGGTATTTTTTTACGTTATTTATTCGAAGATACACGATGACTACTTTTTTTATTATTTTATTGAAACATATATATGAATATTTAAGTAGGATACAATAGAAATAAGAATATAAGATACCCGAGTAGATTTTTCTTCTCCGTGGACGATCTCGACGTTTGTATTTGTATACTTCTCGATGGGCATCAAGTCTGTTGTCAACAGAGTAGCCAGACAAGCCAAAATCAATGAATATTTTATAATGAATATAATGATTACAATTTACAAACTATCAACAACTGCTTCGAAGAACGCCGTCTGAAATGTTATTACGGACAAACAGCTTGTTATTGTAAACCGCTGTAGGCGAATTCGTGTACGTGAACACCTTGTAGGTACACTGCTATTTTGGAGGGGTGATACTATTTTTCTGGTTGTTAAACTCGAAATTTTGGTTGGACTACAGTTATGGATAATTAGAGAGGGGAGTAATAATTACATGATTAAATTATCGTGGCCATATCATCTTGTAAATATTATCTTCACAACGTTATCCACGTCGAAATTCTCAGATATATTATGTGAGTACTTGAATAATTTTATTTATATTTATATGTTGGTACTTCTACAGGTAACAAATTAATTAAAACAATATCTATAAATACATTAAAAAATTATGGAGTTAAATTTAATAGACATTTGGTTGTGAGTCCATCGCTATAATTAATAGTATATGCTGCCACGTTGGAACCAACATTAGCATATTATCTTAAACATGAAACATTTTATTTTGCAGTAGGTATACTCATCGGAAAGATCAATTATCTGTTTTTTATTTTTCATGAAAGTTTTTTTAACGAACACTCACAGTTTTAAAACCATCGTCACATAGGTAAATATCATAGAAGACCGGACTGCACTCTAACCTAAACATTTTTTTTTTTAATGTGATGTATTACCTATAACTTTCCAAATAAATGATATCTGTTAGCGAGTTCAACTCAATACTGTTTTAACTGTAGTAGAATTAAAGGCAATACCATAAAATACAATAGTATTAAGTATTATCAAATAACCTTGTGTTTAATTTTCAGCTCTATGAAATATAAATAAAATAAGGAAAAATTACACTTTAAACGATCAGTATTCATTTCCTTGTTTTGTTCTCCGTAATTTGTAATTCCGAAATGTATTATATTAAAATCATGAATAATATTATTATTATAAAATCTGTAGGATTATATAATTGTTGGAGTGACTTTATCGACAAAGCACCTACCTACGTCCAATCAATTATAATCAATTTGAGATGAATAATTAAATAGTTTCAAAATTAAATAGAGTATAATGTCTATGGAGTAATAAAATATTAAATTAAACTATATACTTATACTTAGGTCATTTCTAATACTAGTAGAGATGCTTATAAACTAATCAGTCATCATGGTAATTATTGGTATTGAAAATCATTAAATGTAGACACTAAACATGTTATATAGGGTAGGTTGTAGGTAGTTTTTTCGTGTATTATTTACTTTTCACCTCAATAGTTGGTACTATAATAGTAATTAAACCCAAAAAGTTAACAAGTAGGTAAGCCCAATCTGCTATGAAATAGGAGTCGAGTCACTCGATTTGAGAGCACATCAAAATTAAGTAGGTAGATTAAATTTGAATTCAATGATTAATAATTACATACCTAAAACAATTCATTGCATACAGTGTCATACACCATAAGACCATATTACTAAATATATTGTATGATGATACATTTATTTTGCAATTATTATATTAATTTGTTTTACTATTTTACATTTTTAATTTAGTATAAATAGACAATATCTTAAAATGTATTACTTACTAAATTTAAATATTTTGAAAATTCCATTGTGTAGGTTCCTATCTAGTATCTATTATAAAATAAAATATAATAGGTAAATAAAAATGTCAACTACTAACCTAACCTTTGGAATGATTACAAAATAACTAAAATTGTGAAAATATATATTTATAATTTGAGTTTCAGTAAAAACTACCTATGATGAACCTTGTATCAATTTTTCAAGCCTTAGCAATACATTTTGTACATTTTATGCATTTTTTTTTTACTATACAATATAATTTTTAAATGTTAATTATTTTGACGAATTTTGCCTAAATATGAACTAAACATGTGTCAATATGTATCATTAATTTTTTTGAACAGCAAAAATAACAATTTATGAGGAACTTAATTGTAATAAATTGTAAAGACTGAACTTAAAGGTTTTGATCAATAATTATAGAAAAATGAATAAAAATAAATGAAACACTTAAAATATCTATAAATAACTCAAAAAGAGGAAACACATTTTAAAAATTATACCATGTATAGAAAATGCTAATAAGTAATCATCTTATAAGAGAAAATTGTTCTTAGTATGAATATTAAATACCTACCTTAAACTTGACATTACAAACCTGATTTTAATTACTGTATTCGTCCTTCATTTGTTCATAATCCCATTATAAAGGTTTTTTTTTCAATTTCAGGTACAGGGTAGTGTTATAACGAAAAATAAAAATATATAAAAGGTTGTTTTTGTAAAATATATAAGTCATAACCTCGCTGCAATGATCTCTCCTGGTTATTGAATTACGATCGAAAGTGTTAAAATTATTAATAAGTTCACATAAAGAAAATCTCCAAGCTCTAAAAAATTTGTGAAAAAAAGTTGTAGCGCAATTCTGCTGTTACTGTCTTGCCGTGGTCGTGTTGTTGTGATTAAGATAATAATATTCACACATTCATATATAATATTGTAAAATCTAAAACCTGTTTTTTATGTGTGATGTTGGCCGCAGCATACTATGACGTAGTGAAACCTTTTATTCTTAAATATTATTATGTTATGGTAGGATGACCATATTATATATTAATAGGAAAAAAAACGGGACAAATAATTCGGTAAAAATATTGTTTTGTATATTTTGTTTCGACGAGCTTAAAAATCAATGTACATTATGGTACTTCATTTGTCATTAGTCATTATATATTACTAGGTTGACATTGTTTTTACCCATTTCAATCAACGAACAAACTCCTATTCTCAAGTTAATTTAATTTGAATAGTTAAATCCAAATTTAAAACTCATTTATGAACCAATGAAATCGTTCAAATCATTCAAATCATTCAAATTTCAAATACATAAATATTGAAAAACATTTTCATCTAAATCCAAATAAAAATTATTATTATACATATTATGTCATATAGCTATAAAATAAATTAAGTTAATATTAAAATATATAATTTATGTAGGTAAAATATCTGTCCACAAGGAAAATCTACGCGGTATAAACGTGTAGAGTCTATGCAGAGTAAACTGTAGATACATTTTAAAGGTTTCTTTAAAACAAGTTGATGGACTAACATTAAAATTGGTAGTTTCAATTTATAAAATTCAGTTAGGTACTGTTTATTTTCTCTAAGATCCAGTCCACGAATGAGGTAACTCTGGTGTATACTCCCGGTTGATTTGGTTCACCACACAATACAAATCCGTAAGAAACTATTCCCATTAAATAGTACTGACCGTCTTTTGGCCACATTAAAGGACCTCCAGCATCACCCTATGACCAATTGGAAATAAACAGACGAACATACCTATTTTATATGTACAAAGCAAAAAAGTCAAATACCCCACAAGAGTCTTTTCCGCCTTCCTGGTATCCAGCGCATAAAACGCGGTCGTCAATCACATTGTATCCACCAGAATACGCTTCTTTACATTTTGAGATGTCCGTTAATGGCATTTGAACTTCCATTAAAGCTGTATTGCGTGATTCACCTGAAAAAAACACGATAGTTTTATTTTATACACACCGATTTGGTGATTGCACTATAGATATGACAAGGCATTTGTTTAGTAAATTTTAAATATAAACATCACATACAATTTTTTTGTATGGTCTCCCTATTACCTACTCTTTTCAAATTTTTTCTTAATTTCAATTATTAGATTTAAGCCATGAAAATAATACTGATCAATTATGCAAATTATGTATGTTTATAAATATTAAAATATAAGTTACAATTCATAATAATATACTGCAATGATATAAATCTATATCAATACACCAATAAATTGTGATTTAATATATTTAAATGATATTTGAAGAATGTCCGAAAAAAAACATTCCATCAAAATGCAGTCGATATTATGGTCGAACGTTTTTTTATGATGTAAGAAAGTAAAAAGTATACACGATATATAAGATCATAATTCGAATAGTATTCCTACTAAATAGTAAAAATTTAAACTAAAAAAGGTACAGACTTAGTTAGTAATATTAAAGTTAGATTTTATGGTTTCTGGTAATTGTAATGTATTTTTACTGGAGAAAAACAGTTCTTGCGTGGAACCCCAGCCCACAACAAATGGCATAAGTTTCGTCATATCAGCATGTTTCATCTCCAATTGGATTGGCAAACATATTGGTTGGATGAAATCTGCACAAAAATTGCAATTAATGCACATTATGGTGGTAATAATATTATATTGAATAACGGAACTGTACACAATATTACATAAATATATCCGATGTATGTTATATGTACTATGTCCTCTATATAGTGCATTCGTATGCAGTTCTATTTATAAATAATAAGTAATCATTTTTGTCAAGATAACCAACATACAAATCACGTTAAAAATATATTTTAACATAATGATTCATAATGACAAGCAAAAAAAAACTTACCACTAAAGGAAACACTATTTTTTAATTTCAGTATTGCAATGTCATTGGTGTTTTCTCGAGGGTTGTACATCTCGTGTATTTTAATATCATCGATTGGAACATCTAACGGCGTCGCACCATCGTTGACATTGAGATCTAAATCCAAATCCCCCAAGCGCGCCACAGTTCTAAAATATTAATTTGAAAAAAAAATGTATACATTAAAAAAAAACTGTACACCAGTCACCTTTCATTTTATATTAATTTGATTAGTACGACATAACGATTAAGATAACGTATGTTAATGAATGCCGCAATTACTTACAACCTTACAGTCTTTCGATTAGCCACACATTGCGCTGCTGTCAGTACGTGTGTATTGGTAATCAAAGTACCACCACATAGCCAATATAATTCATGACTTCTTCCATTGACCTCTTGGTATCCCATAGCTACTATCCAAGGCCAAGTACCTATAAAATGTATGTGAGTAAGCTTTTCAGTAATTTTCTACTTCACGATGTGTTATCACACTAGGGCACAATAAGCGTAGTAAACATACTTAATAAACACAAATAAATTGCAGTTAATTATTTTAATGATGTTCAAACCTAAAACAGATTGACTCCCTCCGAAAATTCGATTGCTGATAGGATTGCTATGACCACATGTTCCTTGTGATGGCAATTTCGATGGTTTATGTGTCTTGATGTCGCTAGTAGTCTCTTCTATTGGTTTCGATTCATCCGAAAATGCATTTTCCAAAGGACAGCATACTTTTGTAATTCCAGCTTCGTGTCCACAAAAGGATTTCTTCAGGAAGGCCATGACAGAAGGAATGTGTCTCTGGCTTTCCAGCAACTCTCTTAACTTTTTGCAATGCTTAATATTCATACAAATGCCATTTTCATTGTGTGGTGTACTGCATTCTAGAGTTAAGGAAAATCAACAATCGCATCTGAGTATCTGACAACGAGTTTCAAGCTCGAATTACCTTAATACAATTTTTAAAAAAAACTTACCATTGCTGGGATTAGCAGTATTTGCTCCGAGTATGAATGTCATCATGAAAATAAAATACTGTTCTTTCCTCATGTTAACCTGTAAATGATAAACTATTGCGTTGTGAAGTGAACACCACAAGCCATATTATATTTTAATTGAACAACAAATTTGAATTTCTTAAAGTTTCTATTACATGTGACGTCAGGTTTCATTCTCAACCATCATTACTTTATAAGAGAATACATTTTAAAAAGTGGTCTAACTTCTCTGTGTAAGTGTCGAGTGCACCTCGTCAATGCTTAAAGATTGTGTTGAATTTGAACTTATAGAAAAATAATTTCATATTACGATTTTAAGCGTAAACTCAACTATAGTCAGCTTATATTTTTAAGTATATTTTATATCTGTACAGTATCAATGTGTTTTACTTTATTAATAATATTGTAAGTTAGACAGTAACTTGAAATAAATCTATACATTTTTTAAATGTCATTGAGTATGGTAAAATATAATAAGGATATTTCTCCAAGAAAATCACGGTATCCATTTTCCTTAAAATATCTATAAAAAATGGTGCATAATATATATTTTTAATTTAAAATGGCTATAAAAACATTTTATGTGTGATTTTGTATAACATTTTCAAGTTTCTCGACAAAGCCTAAACATTTTTTTCAACACTAAAAAACACATTTGAAAATATCAAATACCTACCTATAACAACTCAAAATTAGTTTTAATGTTTTGAAAATTTTATAGAATATACTTAGTAAATATTATAAGTACACGACAAGTAACAGTAGAAAGTTTCAAGCTTCTTCAGTTAAAACTTCGTCCACTCAGAAACTAAAATTAATCAAAATTTACTAGATAGGTATTAGGTACTCATTCAGTAGTAGGAAGTTAAAGTACATGTACACGTCATATTATCGTCATAAACACAATACAGATATATATTTATTATTTATGTACATTTTTTGTACGTCATATTTTGATAAATTCTATACAAATAAATTAAAACCGATAGACACAATTTTTAAAACCATTTACATTAACATATATATAAATACTCTAGTATATAAAAAACATGGCAATGTTCCAATCATTTTCACGTTCAATTATAATGATATCTCCTGTGGGAAACATTAAGAGAAAAACATCCTGAAAAAACCTTTCACGTTGTACAGTTAATTTATACAAATATACTGAGATGCCTCACAATATAATACCTATATACGCATGTATTATTTACGATTATATTGTAAACCAGTTTCATATGGTTCTACTAATAATATTATTCATCGTTTTTCAACAGTTTATCATATTGTAACTTTGAACATTTGATGGATCCTAAATATAATTATTACACTAAATACACACTATAAAATTTACTTAGACAAAATATACACACTCGGCACTTGTCGTTTCCGCACAAAATATGTTTATTATTTATTATTAAAGGCCATACAGCGGTCAGTTAGACAGCCACCATTCACCATCAGCACGAGCGAAATCAAATATAAAATTACTAACAGCTCCAATATACATTACAGTAAAGTACTATTTAAAATATACTTTTAAAGATTCTGTCCCTGGACACCCTCCTCCCTCATAACTAGTATTATACTAAATAATAAAAATACTTATATTCTCCATCATGTTTATCTTATTTGCTTATTGTACATCCTATTCTACAGATCGTAAATTTTCTATTTTAAATTTAAAATATATATATATATATAAATAATTTTTCGAAATTTGTTAACCATAGATACGAATCTTTTTATTGATAATATGGTAGTAAAAATCTCTTACGCAAATAATCAAACCTATTTAAGGAAAACGTATCCCTAATGAATAGAAATCTTTCCTGTATAACTAAAATCGTAATGAGGTTCTCCGACTACGATACAATATTATTGTATTAAAATACAAACTTTGATAAAAATTATAAATTCAAACAATACATTATTTCGTTGTAAGTGGGTTAGTGTATAATCAAGGGTGACCATATATATAGAAAAAAAAACTGGACAACATTTTATTTTAAACACATATTTAACAAATTTTGACAATTTAATTGTTATTTTTAATATATTTAAGCGTGTTTCCGTTTATTTTAAGTAAATACATTTTGATAGATTACATTATTAATTTTTATTGTTAAGAGTGTACCCATACAAAATATAGTACGAAGCATAGTAACGTGCTTTTTTTTTTTGTATAGTAACCTTTTTGAAGTTAAGGTATTTGGTTACTCAACATTAAGAGTAAAATAATAAATGTAAAGTCATTGTTAAATCTTAAAATTTTATAAATCAACATTTTCAAAGTTATTTAAATACAATTTTAGTTGCATATTTTAGTTATTTTAGGTGCATATGTTCAATAATTTTAGTGCAATAAATATCGAACCCTATTTATAACTATTAAATTAAATTTTATTAATATTGCACTGTAAAAATATTGGTTTGTATACTGCGTTTTGAGTATAGGTATTTTTTACACACGTATAATAATCAAAAAATACCCAACGGGATTACCACGAAGACCATTTTCTATGAACAGAACATAAAAAGCTTTAAGTTTTTCATGACAATCGTGTTTTGAACGGGGTATATGGTCATCGGTCACCCTTAGCCCTTGGGTATCCCTATTTTTCACACTACACCCAAAGCACAATTATTCTCGTTGATTAAGATTAGTATCAACCGTAAAATTAAATAATAACGACCTAACGCAGTTTATATTAAGTTTATATTTTGTATTTATTAGCGTAATATTAGATCCAAAATGTTCGCTTAGAAATACTCGACATTAAAATTAGATTATTATAACGATTTAGGCAACCAGTTCTTAATATAATATTCTATTATTCATCGGCTGTCGAGAAGACACTAGAACAAACCGGTATTTGTTCATCGCATAGTTAAAGGATTTAAATTAATTAAAAAACTATATTATACCTGAATCGATGGTTTTCTTCCGTCCTATGGGTATAACGTCTTTAATATATTTTAATCGGGCACCTAATAGGATGCGTTAGTATGGATAACTGTGTAACAAGACAATCCGAATCTTCGTTTATGGTTATATTAAAATCGCAAATGAGTATGTAGCAGAACAGGTATGCAAGAGACCGCCATGTGACGTCACAAATAGAGTCTGCAATGACGAGATCGCGTGTGGGAAGAGCGAGTTTAAGGAGGAGTTGCAGTTTTTATTTGAAAAGAAAAATCTTGGTTTTTTTTTAATAGGGGTGGTTGTAAAACAATTCATTATTACAATGCATTTTCCTTAATTTTCAATAGAATATTTTAAGAACTAAGAACATTACTTATTGGCTAGTAATTACTAATTATAATAACATAATATTATGAAATCAATAATCATTGAGACCTATTTTAGATTTTGAGCAAAGTAATGAATGTATTGACTTTACACCTTTACAGCTATAAGTTTTTTGTGTCTTGAAATACTTTTAAATTAACCACATATCAAATGTTTGAAATCAAAAAAAAAGTAACTGTGATGAAAAAAATATAAAGCAATTAATAAATTACGATTATAATAATAACTTACAATAATAATACTTATTTTGATGGTTGTATGGCAAAATTAAAATAACGAATTATGTTTGCAAACAATTTTGTAGATTTTTATCCCAAATTTTTTTTAGGAGCGCCTCATTAGATGACAGATTTAATGTATCAAAAGATATCTGAAAGAAAAAAAATATTTGGCTCTTTTAAATTAAATTTATAACAATAATTATTTCAATTCAAAGTAATAATACATTTACTAAACTTTAGAGGACCATAATTAATAAACTAGTGAACCGAAATTGATGGGTTGACTATCAAAATTTTCAAGAAAAACAGCTTTATCAGAATCCATTAAAAATATAGTGGTTACCATTTAAAAAAAATAAAGTTGATTTTGCTATTCGAACACCCGTGGGTTCAAAAGTTTTGAAATAATTATAAAAAAATTCCCTGTTAAAAATAAAAAAATAAATATTTGTTTGTTTTTTCTTAAATCCCATGTCATCGATCCATAGTCATGAAAAAGCCCAGCTTACATTGAAATAAGATATGCACCTGGTATATATAGGTATAAATAACTTAAATAAATCTTAGACGATCTAGCTTTATGGTAACCTTAGTTACCAAAGAATTTTTTTTATTATAATATTACAATTTTATCAAACTTTCCTATTTTACTTATCATTTTGTTTTTCCCAATTATTTTAAAAGAATAATTATAATAATATTAAAAAATACGAAGAATTTTCTATTTTTACCTCCCAAAAGTACCAACTAAATCTAATTTGCTACTAGAAAGTAGAAACTTTCATCAAAGTTAATGATGAGAGAATTTTGTCTTCTAGAAATAAAAACGTGTGATTGTTACAAGCAGACCTGTGAAATCTGAAACTTTTTACGTAGTTTTATCAATTATAATAATTTGATAATATATTGTGGGTTTTCAACCAAAATACAACAATGTATTGCAACGCAGTATAAATAATATTGGTTGAAATTTTATGGTTTTACTTACATACCTACCTCTGGGCTTTGACACCTCTGTAGGTATATGTCTGAATAAATCACTATACAGACTTCAAAGTTGAATAACTTTTTATCTTCTTTCCTAGTTTCCAAAAAATTCCAAAGATTTTCCAACAATGCTTTATGAATATTGTTGGTTAAGTTTTAAAAATGTTAGTTGGCACTACAGATTTTAAAGCTAAATAACTTTTAAAAAAGCTCCCAACAAATTTCAACGGGCACGAAAAATTTGTTTCTGAGAAAATCACAGGTGAGAAAATTCTAAAAACTGACGAGCAAATGTTAGCAAACACGATCATTAGCTTGAAGATTCTATATCACAATGTGTTGAGCAATGATTCGTGAATTTATCTCCGTCTCTAGAAAAAATGGTTTTGAAAAAACTTCGTGTGTACTTTTAATTTTAGCAAATTTATTTGCTAAATATCTATGCAGTTTTGAGTAATGGATGGAGTTGGGCCTAACTTAACGGACGTACAATTAAAATCAATTCTGTTGTCTTAAATTTGTGCCGACTATAAACAATCTATAAACAATTCAATATAATTTTTACTTTGTAGATTTGAATGAAAACTTTAGTTATTTGAGTATGGTTTTAAATACTATACAACGCAACTCTATTTTATGTGTTAGTATTTACCATTCAAATGCGCATGTTTATTTTCTACCGTATAATATTACTAAAGGTTGACAATTTTCACTAGATAAAGACATACTATTTACCCAAATAGTTACTCTAGATGTTACATAATGTAAAAGGTTCAAAGCTTACCAATGCTAAAATGTATAAAATTCTTATAAAATTAAAAGTTTTTTTATTTTCAGAATCATTCTTATACTAGTCTAAATAAAAAAATTCCAATAATTTGTATAAATAATTTATCATGTTTCATATGTACTGTCAAAAGTAAAACTAAATAATAAATTTAAAATACATTTCTGACTGGCTGACATTTCATGACATAATTACATAAATAAATCATTAAAACTGACTTCTTAACGCAGATAAATATGATTAATATTAAATAAGTTGTCAGTTTTGAGTTTAGGGAACTCAGTTTTCGTTTACTTTCTCAACAATCCAATCAATATATGAAGGTACCCTGGTGTACACGCCTGGGAATCCTGGTTGGCCACATATTGTTAACCCGTAAGACACTATACCCATCAAAAAGTATTGTTTTCCTTTTGGCATCATTAATGGACCTCCCGAATCACCCTGCAACCAATTAAACATTTCTGTATTGCTCAATTTTTATATTGAATTAAATTAACCAATTACCCGACATGAATCTTTTCCTCCCTCTGGATATCCAGCACATAACACTCTGTCATCAATTACAGCTTTTTGTTTTGAATATGCTTGTTTACATTCCGCAGTTCTCGTCATTGGAACTTGAACTTCCATCAAAGTAGTTGTGGGTGGATAGCCTAAATAAATAGAGTATTTATATTATACATTTTACTATATTTTAGTTTATTACAGAAATTTATTGGCATTTGGCGGTGACCATTACAACGATCTTGTAAATATCAAATCCTTTCTGTGAAATATATCTTATTCAATTCTAACAATTACTAACAATATCCAGATCACGATTAAATAAACGGTACCTACACGCCTAATTGCAAGTTCTAAAAGAAAAATCTTGAAAAATAATTTTTCATACTCCTATAGTTTTTCTTAGTATGAAAAAAGTCTAACGACAATGTTGGACAAAATAAGATATGCAAATATAAAAATATAACGTTTTCGATAAAATATTATATGAAGCTTTTTCTTCGACCTATTTTATGTAGATTTTAGGTATTTTTACTAATTTATACTTACTGGGAGGTGTACTGGGGTTAGGTTGAGTAGTACCCCAACCAGCAATAAAAGGCAAACTTCTCGACATATCCGCGTTTTTCATAGTTGGAGTGATTGGTAAACAAATGGGTTGTATAAATACTAAACAAAATACACAATATACTTAGTACATACCAACATTGACAGTATTATAGTTTCATTTTACAGACACGTTATAATTATTCATCTTAAATTGCGCATCTGGCCTTAGCAAATGAGTGTTAAGACTTCCATACAGTGAATAAAACGCATACTGCACTTCTGCAGATTCGGTAATGAACACAGAGATTGATTAAAAACTCACCGTTAAAAGCAACACTATTTTTTAACTTCACCAATGCTATGTCACTGGTAAGTTCTTGTGGGTGGTATCTCGCATGTATGACGATACGATCTACTGGAACATCTATCGGACTTGCACCGTCTTCGACCGTGGGATCCAAATCCAACTCACCTAATCGTACAGTAGTCCTGAGAAATCAAAATATTAGTACATGCTATTAACATGCCTATGGTTTATTACAATAAATTTATTCAGGGATTAAATTAATTTGCTTACAGTTTCACAGCGACATTGAATACGCAGTGTGCAGCTGTTAGCACGTGTGTATTTGATATCAATGTGCCACCGCAAAGCCACTGTACAGCGCGATTGTTTCGATTTGTTCCCTGATAGCCGAGGGCTGCCATCCAAGGCCAAGCTCCTAAATAATAATATAAGTTAATAGTTAGTATAAAGATTCAGTCGACCGGCGACAACTTATTGTTTTAACTCGACAATGGTATACTGAATACAATCAATTATACGAGTAGGTATAATAATGTTAACTTAACTAATTTTTAATTTATAACTATTTCGAACCTAATTCCGCTGGGGTCCCTCCAATAATTCGACTGCGGGTGACGTTGGTCATTCCGCACCTAGATTGAGATGGTAATTTTGCCGCACCGTTGTTCGTTGTCCCAATATTGTTCATTACGTTTGGTACTACCGGCGGCGTCGGCATTGTTGCCGGTGCTTTTGGTGCTACAGGAGCTGCCGGTGCAACATTATTTTCCAGAGGACAGCACACTTTTGTACTTTTGCCTTCAAATCCACAAAAAGATTTCTTAAGGAAGACTAAAACGGCCGGCACTTGTCTTTGAGTTTCTAATAGGGTTAGTAACTTTGGGCAACGCTTAATGTCGATACAAACACCATTTTCATAATTTGGAGTGTTGCATCCTGTTGATGAGAATAAAAACAAGTATTAGTATTATTATTGTAATGTTTAATTGTTCCCACTGTTGGGGATGACCTGTAAGCATATTAATCATACTATTTAGATACGCTGAATTAAAAATCGTTGTAAGAGTTGAGTTATATTAACAAATTGTAACGATTTGTTAACCATCAACAAACTATAGTTTGTACATTTAATAAAAACCATTTTAGTTCTACTAAAAATGTACTACTTATTCATTTTAATTATTTTTTTGGCATCGATGACGCTGCCTGAACTGCTTAAGCATTACATTGACACATGCATTTTAATTTAACGAATTATTTGCTGTAGCGAAACAGTTTAAAAATAGCAGATTTTCATACATTTGTTTCCAAAAGATTAGGAAGTAATAGAAAGGATGAAAGTTAAAGTGATATACTGATATATCCATATCGGTGATATGGGTTTTAGTTTCACGATTTTCCGTTGACAGGTTGAAATAGCAAACAGATTTTTTTCATGTTAGAAACTTAAAACACATCTTTCTCGGCACTGGTGCTATAGTTTATCAGTCTTTCTGATTCTGAGCGGAGTGATCGTTGTATTGATTTACAAAGGTGAGCGTGTGTTTTTTTTAATCTAAAACACTTCTTATAGCAGAGGAAAGTGGTTCAATGTCTTATAAGCGGTAGTTTCTGTTTGGATCTAGTTTATTAAGAATTTAGTGTTTACGCAACACCTGCTTTTGACAAATTAAAATTGTTTTTTTTTTTCAAAAATTTACTACTTGGGTACCGGTAGAGACTTGACATTTTCATCAAATATTTATAAAAACATTTTGAAGAGTTTAAAGTAATTTTAAAAATATCTTAGCTATTTTCGTTACATTTATTGACGCTTGAAATATTTTCAATGTGTATATTTTAATATTTTTTTAACGATAATCATATTATACTTATTAGTTATTAGTCTCAAACCATGAGAATTCAATAACAGGTTTCTGGTAAATTTTTTGTACAGCAATTAATAAATATTGAATATATATATATATATATATTATAAACTATATAGTCCAAATTTTTTTTCTAAGTTTTTAAAGTTATAATTTTTTTACGAAATTTGATTTTAATTTGAATGATTTTTATTATTTTGTTATTATATTAATTTTAGAAACTTGAAACGTCCCACTATTTAAATAGTATTTTCTATGCACGATACAATTTTTAAAATATTGTTAAGTCTAAACTCTAAATGTGAACTATGTTTAGAAATTTTAAACTATTTTTAGTTTAGTTGTAGGGTAGGTATATACGGTTCCTCATAAGTTGTTCTTATAACAGTTATTTAAAAAAAAACAAAAATAAATATTATATGATTTATTGTTTTGTAGACATTTGAATTTCGAATGTTGACCAAATTGAATATTTACAAAAAATGACGATTTTTCCTTTAACGAGTTAAGTAAATTTGTTGAGATTAAAAAAAATATACGGGACTTAAGACTTTTCACCATTACGATTATTGTTTAATTCTATACAGTATACACAATGAAACTTGCATAATATTTGGACTAATTTTAAGTTATAATATAATCTTTTTACACCGTTGTACGTCGGTATTGACTTAAAGCTAATAGTGTCTAACACCAATATTATATTATGATAATATATTATAATAATTACAAGGTACATAAATATCCATTAGTTTTGATAACATTCATATTAATTTTCGGTATTACTAAAAGTAATGTAATTAATAAATATATACATTTTGAAGTCTTAAGCAATAGACACACCATCTCCGTTTAGAATCGTTTTTTTTACATTCAATGATCTATATTTTTTAATTAAATTCAAATTTAATATACCTATAAATAATTAATAATGACTCATTACAGTGACCTATTCAGTGACTAGGTATATGCCCAAAACCTATCAAACCTAAACCGTACTGCAACAGAGTGATTTCTACTTTTTTGATTCTATCCTATTAATCCTATTTATGTATTATTTTTAATTTTTTAAACATTTAGAACTCGTAAAAAATAGAAATAAGTCTAGTAAAATCAACAAACTTACACTAGTAACTTATTAATTAATTGTAAGTCTGATAAAATATCCGCGGTTTATTAGTTAAATGGTTTTGACTTTGACTTTGAACCTAGTTTGGATTTATTTATTAATTATTATATTTGATTTAGAGTAAAATTATATGTACATCGAATTGGGATCTAATAGATTTTTCGCCGAATTTTAATTGACTTTTTTTAACAATACCTATATTATTGTTATACATAATAACTTTGCGAACTAATTTGACTAAGCTGGACAATGATTGGATATAGATAGCAAATGATAGTTGGTGTATTTTCGAACGTGATTCGCGCTGCTTCCTGATATCTCAATTTGAAATTTCCATCAAAATCAGTTGAATATATAATTATTTGAGTATATAAGCTACATTCAGCTCTCATATTTATTTAAAAATATAATTTCTTTCATTAAGGGCATAAGTACGATGATTTAATGCATGCATTTACTTCGTCTACCAATGTCAACAGAAGTTTGTATGTCCGCAGGACATTCCTTAGAAAGTACAACAAATTTCAAGTTTTTGAAAATATGATCCTTAAGTAAATTTAAAAGTTCCAAAAATCAAATTTTAATAACTTCATTGTTGAAGAATAAGGGGGTTAATATAATATTGGCGAATCACCACGTACATAGGTACGTATACAACACGAATATTGTATATTTTATTAAACTACATATCATTGTATAGAATTGATTTATTTTAGTATATTTTTTAAAGTGACTCACCATTACTGGACTGAGATGTTGCCATTCCAAGCATGCATGTTAAGATAATAAAACATTTTTCTTTTCTCATGTTTAAACTGAAAACGAAAAACAATTGTATTACTAATGTCAGCTGATAGTATTATAAACACGAATATAATATCTACCTAGTAATCAAACAAAGATTATTTAACTTTACAGGCATAATAATAAAGACTATCAAAAGCTACTTTAAAATTAAAATTATTTGTTTTTATTTTATAATAATTGGGTGGTCTTAACTCTTAGAATATAAAAGTCAGCACTTAGCACAGTAGCACACCGAGTGTAAGTAGGGATCTAGTAAAAGAATTATAAACATAAAAACACATTATAATTCAATAATAATAATTTATTCGTTTGGAGAAAACGATCAGAAACAACATTTTTAATAATAACTGATATACTTAAATTATATCTAATAGATTCATAAACAAAAATATATTAAAATGATCTATTATAAGTTATAATTTAGGAGACTTTCAATAAATGCACCAATCAATGTATATTATGCATGCGCATGCTACTAATTTAGTACAACTGACAAATTCGGTAAAATTGAGAAAATCGCTACATATACTTACTGAACCCGCCTTAATGGTAATATAACGAAATTACGAATACAGCAAAATATAATAAATTATGGACGATGTAAAAATATTTACAGGTAGAGTAAATAATATTGTTTGGCGTAAATAATAGGCAAATAATGTACACCAACGACCAACAGTGTTCATTGATGTTGAACAAAGACGTTACTTAGTCTTATCAATACAAATGCAAAACCTTCTTTAATTTTTATGTTGATGTTATAAGTGATAATTTTGAGTGTAAAAATACGTTTCGATAAACTTGCAACTGTATAGTATTAATTTATGATTTACCATAAATAAATAAACAGAAAAATATATTAAAAGTACAGCCGATTTTGATGATAAAAATTATTATTGACTATTATTGATTAACCTCATATGCTTTGATATTACAAACCAGTTTTATAGCTACAAATTTGTCCTTCAATCGTTATTTTCATGAAATATTTCCACTATTTATGTGCTAATAAGTTATTTGTGTTTAACAAAGTGATTATCATCTATCTTATAATATAGTTATACCATTTATACGAACAACAAACATGAATATAGAGTAAGATAATAATGCGAATTCGATTTACCAACTCTTGGATAATTTTTTTAAGGGGTGGGTATGTAAACTGTAAGTAATATAGCACTGCAGTATTACAATTATACCGACGTAGGTAGAATAAAATCAGTTTTCGATTTTTATAAATTTCGTTGGTTTGTTTGCGGTTTTATTAAACTATATTTATTTCAGATTGAGAATATTATTTCTTAAATGTTTGGCATAGAACTGCGTAATACAATAATGTCCAAGCGTTTTTTTTTAATGATTTATGTCGAGTATACTAATATTAAGCCATGTCAGTACTTACTGGTTCAATATTACTTGTATGCGATCGTTAGCTAGCAGTGTTATTCCTCGTGGGTGGAGACGGAAATTATTATACCTATTATGTATTGTTATTATTCGCTAATAGTTTTTACGTTGAACAATACTATCCAAAATACACATAAGCAACTAAAAATCGAAATACTGCGTGTTCATGAATCGATTCCTCGGCTTTCTGATAAATGTATGACTATTTACTGATTTATATACTTCTATTGATCACCGTAAAGTATTATACGTGTACCTACCGATATCGGTGCGGCAAACTGTGGGATACAACGATACGATTTCCGTATTACACAGTTTTATATATGCTGCAAATTATTATTATTATTATTAAACGACCGGCGGGTTTAACCGGTATGAAGAACACCGGTTGATATGTGACGTCGCAAATGTTGTGTATATAATTATTATACGGCCAATGGCAGATTCGCGTAGGTACTTATAACCAGCACCATGGGTTCGCCGATACTCCACAGATTTTGGAGGGGGTGAAGATATTTTGTTTTCTTCTGCCGGGAGGAATTTATAGATTTTTTTGGTTTTGTTTTACGGTGGTGCACAGCAAAAACGTGACGGAGAAGCCACATTATAAATTATGATAAACGGAGAATATGCTTGGATATAAAAACAGACGACATTGTGAATTACAAGGAAACATCTCAATATCCACCCTCTACGAATATTATACTCACAAATATAAAATGTTCAATTGATCTATGTATTGTTTATGCAGGGCTCCGGACTTAAATCTCTGGAATTATGACTTTTTAAAATGCTTATTTCAGCTTTTATCAGTGATTTTTCAAAAAAAATGCTCATTTCCAGTTTGTTTGATAATTTTTGATTTTTTTATCAGTTTTTCTACTTTTTTATGGTTTTAAAAATCTCAGAAAACATTTGATCATTCAATTCAATAATGACGGTAAAATTTAATTAATTAACTAACTTTTTTTCAACTACCTATTTATAAATATCGTTTTCATTTTATTTTTCAGAAAAACCCTCTGAAAATCCATAAAACCTCTAAGTCTCGAAAGTAAAATCAAATGTTTTTTTGTTTTATAGATAAAGATTTTTTTTTGATTTTTTAGTTATAATTTTTTACTTTTTTTAAAAATATTTTTGCTTATATTTAAGTATTTTAAATGCTTATTTGAGTGGTTATAATGATGTTTTTAAGAGCTTATTTTAATGACTTTAAGTGCTGTAAGTCCCAAGCCCTGGTTATATGTATCTATCCCCGATCAACCTCCATCGTAGAAGCGTCCCTAGACACTTTTTAAGGGGGGGCGAACCTATAAATTACAATTTTGATCATTGTTATTTTGTTGACAATTGGAGTAATTTTATACATAATAAATTGTTATGGATGGCGAATGTCTCTTCAGCCCCTCCCCCCTAACCTTGGGAACGCACCTGGTCCAAAATATTTATAAGTTTATAATAATATTCCAGTATTGTAGTCTGTTGTAGAAACGATTTGATCCCACAAATTTTTGCCATTTTTGTTTCATCGCCCATGAGCAATGTGGTGGTTTGGTTCATTATTAAAAAAATAATACTACTATGCATTAAAATATTATATTACCCACCTACATATTGTTTATATGACAGAGCAAAATCAATGGGATGTGTAACCACTTCAAGGTTTATCTTTATCTTTATTGAAAGAATTACACGAGTTTAATATTATATTTAAATTTAACCATAAAAAGTAGGTACTTACTAAGTAGTTAGTTGGCAATCTGTATTAAATTGTAAACTTTATAATTTAAATACTAATAATGAATAACTATAATATTATAAACAGTATAACTAAGTACCTACCGTAGTTAATTTTATAAAATGAGTATTGAAAGATTGTGAAGTGAATTTTATATTTTGTTACTAGCTATATCAATATACAACACGGTATAGTTTCCGAGCATTTTTTAAATTTGCAAAAAATGTACAATTTTAACGTCGAAAAATGCAAAGTAAAAATAGGTAATCATGATAGAGTATATAAAAAATTAAGAATCTAATTTTTAGTTTGGAAACCATTTAAGTTGTTAGCAAGTCTCGGGGTAAACGAGTTAAAAAGGTTAGGTTAAGTTAATTTTAACTTTAAAAAGAATATAATAATAATTAAACTTAAGTCAATAAATTGTTTCCCTAAAAAATTTTCGTTCACTAGTTTCAATAATGTGCTGTTAGTTTTGATATTAAAGTGAATTGAGCTATTATAAAATTTAAAGGTAAGATTATTATCTAGTAGTCCACTTAGGTTCTCATTGATATTATTTTTAAGTAAATTATGAACTTTTTGTAACTGTATATTTTAAAATTATCATAACTTACTTATAAATATAATAATATCAATAAAAACCTACTTGGGGCCCTAGGTAATAAACTTACCTTTAAATTGTATAATAGGTTAATTCACTCTAATAATATCAAAACTAACAGCACACTGTTGAAACTGGTGAACGAAAATGTGATGCCATACGTGATACGTGTGTATGATGGAGACAACACATGCGGGTAGGACGTCTTTTCAAGTTAAAAGTTATATGAAAATGTTCAAGATTGCGTACATCGATTAAGATCATCTGCAATCGTGTTTCACCACTACAGGTACTTATTAAGTACATATAGGTACTTATATAAACAGATTATTTTATTGAAATTACCACGGCTTATGCGCCTTATTTTAATTAGACGATTTAATTCATTAATTTTATTACAGTTTATTATTTACTATAGATATGTATATTAATATGATTTCTTACATGTGTACAGCTGGCAAGAATGAGTAATTTTTCTTGAGGTGAGTTCAGGCATCAGGAGATGAAAATCCACAGAGCCAATTAACTCAAAACAAGAAATTACTTTAAAACACTTTTTAAATTGTATGAAACTGTATTAATTAGATATCTTGCAAAAAGTAGTAGAGGTCAACGTAACTAAGTTGAGGCTTAGTTATTATAACTGGCTCTGAACAGAGTATGTTATTTGAGGTAGACTAAGCTTCTGGGAACAGACTGATTGTATAGTATTGAAATTGGGTTCTACTTACATCATTGAACTTTCGTAATTGACACTTGTTCGGCTTCAAATTTTTGTTGTTTATTTGAGAAGGAACTTAGATACAAAATTGAAAATGTGTTATTATTAATTATAATATTAACATGACTTTCTTAAGTGTTATATATAATGTTGACTATAGGTACAATAGTACATGGTACCTACAGTTATTTTATTAGGTTTAGTTCACTCGTTTAAGGGGGACATATTTAATGTAAAATAAGTTATGAAGTCTTGTGGCGTAATAATATGGATATCATTACAGTGCTATGTATTGTTTAGTGTATAGCTTAATATTTTTTTTGTATTATTATTCATGATACAACTTCAACAGTTAAGGTGTTTATCTTGCAACAAAAAATGAGAGCCTTTAGTTACATAATATAGTAAAACCATAGTTCCTAAACTTAGCTTGAACATATTAATTTGTTTTTGATTACAATACTGAATACATAATAGAATTGGTCCTTAAATTAGGTTGTACATATCAATTTGTAATAGAAGTGTAATTATTTTATTGGTGTTGTCATAGGTTGTACTGAGGGTTTTCGAAGAGGTTGTCTAGCAAATCTAGACTTTTTCTGGTATATATATGATTACGACACTGGTCAAAGAGGTGCTTGACTGTAAGAGGTTCTCCGCAGGTTTGGCACGTTGCAGGTTCTTCTCTGCGCATATAGCTTAATATTATAGTAATTAGTAGTTCGTATTGAGGCAGTTTGTAAGCATAAAATAATAATACGAGCATTATGCATATTGTATAGTTTAGGAGAAAATTGTTGATTCACATAGAATGGTGCTCAAATGTAATAGTTATATAAGACAAGCACAAAAAAAATATTTTGCTATAGGTACATATCAAGTACATAACAAAAATAACGTACTTATCTACTTTCGTTTAATTTTTTTAAGCCCAAATTATTTATCATTAATTAATTATCTTATTCTGTTTTTATATATTAGGTATTGACAGTGGTGAACTTTGATATGAGAGCTCACTGGCATAGTGGCAGAAGTTAATGTTAAATGTATGGTGGCGAGTTATCAAAATAAATAACCAGCTATTGTTCCTTCTGAAAATTAAAATATATAGATATAACTATAGAAAAAAATATTAGATCAAAAACCACTGACGTCATCGGTATTTGCGGGGGATTTTCCGGTAGAAACTAAAAAAGTAAAAAGCGAAACCACATTAGCAATTTACCGTGTTTAAAAAATCTACTGAAATTATACATACACACACAACACACACACCTATTCATTATAATAATGTATGATATTAATCAATACCGTTTGTGAATGTCCTGAAGTGATTTTTGAGATCAAAAAACCATCACGTACACGGTCATCGAGTCCTGCCATCAGATCTTTTCGTACTGCACTAAGCCGTCTCCGGTAGTTCTGTTTCTAACAGCGTACTTCAAATACACCTGGTTCTAAGTCCAGAGGCGCCGAAAATGGGTTTCATATATAAGACACGCCATGGTGTCTTGGGCGTGGTAAGTTCGTGTCGTTCTCCGATAGTTATAACTTATATTGATTGTATATACATTGGTAATAATGTAGTATAGGTACTATGTATAATGTTGGGAAATTTCGATCTTCATTATGGTATAGAATCGTACGAAACCACGGTATAAAAGTAATAACCACTACTATTTGCATCCTTCAAAAATCCATCAAGCAGCTGTCACCTTCGAGCGCAAATCGATTTCGTCCGTACGATTATCGTATAATATTATGCTCGTTTGACGGTGAACGCCAATCATTATTAATTATTACACCTATTTACTATAACTTATAAGCAATAACTAATAATCATTCAACGTTACTACGTCTGCTATATTGTATCGAACGGTCCGTCGGTAGGTGCTAGGTACATATATCCAATACATCGGTATATCACTTAGGCACGATCGATCGATTCGCAAATAATGTCATATTATTAATAATAATACATTAATACCATATATCGTTCAATAGATGTCGAGAATTTCTACTCTTCTACACCGGAAATAATTGAACACATAAGTACGTTGCGCTTCTTCGTCATCGTCGTGAAAAACTGGTTTAAGGTGTCAGTATAAGGGACTCGAATATTATTGCTATGACGTTGCGGCCATCATTGTGCGCATTGGACCAATAGTTTACGATTTTATAATACTAAGAAACGAATTTGCACTTTTCGACTACAAATTAACCGCAGAAACTATATATCATG